CTAGGACGCTAGGCACGCGTGTCCGGGGTTGTTTTTCACATTACTTCAGGCTAGACCTAGGGGTTGCGGCATTATCATAGATAAAATCTTTTAGTGATTCTTACCACTAGACCAACGTGCTCCACTATATAAAATAAAATGAAATAATATTTAATTATTTTCATCGCTTTTCAATACAAACCAAAAGCAATTTTACGTCGGATTGTTTGATTATTTTACTAATATTATAAATGTGAAAGTTTGTGTGTTTGTTTGTTTATTTGTTTGTTTGTTTGTTTGAAGTTCAAATCACGCATTAACCACTGGACGGATTTGGCTGAAATTTGGCATGATGATAGCTCACATTCCCGATTAACGTCTAAAACCTTTCGGGCTCCGCCCCAGTGGCTCTTTAGTTCCCCATGTTAACCTTATGAGTATTCATATTAAAGAGAATTAAATAATTTAGTCAGCTGTTTCAACTAAAAATGTTGGGTTCTATCATATACAAAAGCATTAAAGTTATAAGATTTACCAATAGGGTGCGGCACTATTATTTTTTGCATTTATGAAAACAGATTCTTTTTGTCTATGTTTGAACTAAGCAGTAACAAAAAACTGTGATACACATTGAGAACTGTCAAAGTAGGATTGTTTACAGTTATCTTAATGCTTTTTACTTCATGAATGTGTGATATTCTAAACATTTTTAATAACTTTTTTTTCTCTTTTCTTTAGGTGAAGTGGTAAAACATTATGGCTATGGTAGATGTGTAATACTATAAATATACCGTGAATTTAAAGAAGCAAATGTTATGAAACTGTGTCCTCTTCCATTGCAAACGCAAAGCTTGAGTATAATTGCAATAAGCATTTTATACTTATATGCCAACCCCGTACGAAGGACGGGTACTCTGGTAGTCTTTATTATAAACGTTGAGGAAACTGGGGATGCGGAATACTACCTCCCGGAAAACCACCCCCCATATGAAACGTGACGTCACGAAATGTGCCAACTAACTAACTAACCAATATGGTAGCCGTGTCCGCGACTGGGATACTACCCCCTAGCAAAATGTGATGCTATGTAATTTAATTTTCATCAAAAACTCCATCCGCGGGGCTTCGCAGCCGTGGATGCAATGACAGCTACCAACGCAGGCAATGACGGGATTATAAGGGTCACTCAAGAATTCGGAGGTGGCGGGACAGATTTGGGTTCGGAAGTGGTGGAACGCGGAGATAGCGGGAGCACACGGTGGGGAATATCCAACAGAATTTTGAAATGTTACAGCAAGTTTGGTTGGTCAGGTTAGGTTAGTTTGGAACAGTCTGACAACGAAACTTGAGTATCCGTGACTGAAAAACTGCCCCCCCTCCCGATCTCTGACGTCATCATGACGTAGGAACCTGCTTGGAGGGGGGGGGAGGGTAGTTGTCCGGGGGACAGTCTTCCAGCGACCCAGGACACCCTATTATATTAAAACCCCAATGTGGAGGAACAATGAGAAGCTGTACACTATGCCAAACTATTAGGAAAAGCAATTTAGTTTGGTTGTGCAAATCAGAAGCAATTTCCAACAACCGGGCGTGTAATACTGAAGGTAATATGTAATACAGGGTGAGACAAGGTAAAACTTGACGTGTGTGTGTGTGTGTGTGTGTGTACGTGTACAGACCACACACGTGGTTAGATTTTAATGAAATCTGGTACATGTGTGTGAGTACGGTATCTCCAGGCGTTTTTATTTAGATTTCCAATGACGACTTCGCCATTAAAGCCCACAAAACAATGGAATAATCAAATTGAAAAAGAAAACGGAGCGAACGATTCTGTTAACAGTTTTATGGCCCTTCTAACTCTAAACAAAATGGTAAAAGGTTGTACAAAATTATAGTTCAAAAGTTATTGCAGTTTTGGTGATTTTCCCTATAAAATACTATAGGTACTCCCATTGCTTAGGGGTTATTGACAAGCTAATGGGAGAAAGTATATGTCAGTTTGCTTTACCGTTTTTTTTTTTTTATACTATTGTATCTCCTTAATGGACAAACTTAAGTATTCATTGAGCACATTGTTATTCATATTAAGTTTGGGGCTAAGTGTAAATTTACTTTTACCATGAACTTTTTCCTAAACACAATGGTATAGTAAGCACAGAGTGAATTATTACTTGAGATGAGTGTTTATGAACATTCACCTTATTTTAAAGTTACAACCATAATATTAATACATACCCCCGCCTCAGCAAACCTGTAGACTAAGCGAATTTCCACTTACCTGGCTGGATTTTTACTAAAATATTCCCTAAGACTGTCAGATTTATTTCGTATCTAAATAACATTAATTTTAGTGAGTACTTACTTAGGTTTGCTGCTACATGGATGATAGAGGTGTGTTTTATTGCAATGTTGATAGCTTTGTATGAAATAAACACAATTTCCAAATTGGGTCAAAATATATTCATAAACAAGCAAACTACGACAGTTTATATATTCTCCATAAAAATAACAGAATTATATATTTTAAATTTTGATAATTATCTCCAAAACCGTTGCGTAAACAACAACGCTACAATATACAAAATTATTTCCTTTTTTAAGCTCTACAAAATGGTTTGGAGAGAAATTATGAAATTTTGTGTTTATATGGTCAAAAATGGGAAAAATCTATTTTCACACCATAAAACCCCCCATAAACCCCCGTTCCCATAGTCCGATTATTCTAGGTAGGTTTACAGGTTAATACAAAATTTCATCAAAATCGGATCACTTTTGCTCGAGTTAATGTGCTAACGGACACGGCTAACGGGCGCTTTTTTATAAATTTGAACGGATGGTGTTTTTGGCCTCAAGGAACCTCAAAACTACAAGGGATCTACACTAAAATGTCTCTTTAAAAAAATTCACATTTATTCTCTATTTAAATAGCATTAGTTTAACGAGTAGCCTACTTAGATTTGCTGCAACAGGGAGCGTAAACTTTTTTTGGAAAATGTTTATAGTTTAGTATGAAATAAATGCATTTTCAAAAGTTGATCAAAATATTGTTAATAACCAAGCAAACTACAACAGTTTACTTATTCTCCATAAGAATAGTATAGGATTTTTTAATTAAAATTTTTTAGGAATTTTCTCGGTAACCATTTGGCGCATAATAACGCATCATCTCTACCAAATGGTATGGAAAGAAATTGCTAAATTTTATGTTTTTAAGGTAAAAAAATGGGAAGAACAAATTTTTACCCAACATGCTTGCCTATTAATATATAGATATACAGAGTGGAAAAAAGTCCCGGGACGGTTAAATATCTCGAAAAAGTAATGAAGATAGAGCTTCAAAACTTGGTAAAATGTTACTGGGAATTAAACTCAGTTTAACACGCTATTCAGTGAGTCACTACAGAAAATTTTAAAAGTAAGCTTTGGTTGATATGCACATCAAATTTAAGTTCTTCACTAGTAGAATACAATGCCACAAATTTAAACTCAAACGGACAACCGAGTCAAAAATGGCAGCCATTCAAAGATTTCTTGAATCTGCCATTTTGAATCTTTGAACGGCTGCCATTTTTACTTAGTTGTTCTTTTGAGCTTATCTTTTTGGGCATTATATTCTACTAATAAAGACCTTTAATTTTATGTGCATATCGACCTGTTTATTATTTTCTTCCAACTTTTCTACCCCTGAGGAGGTGGCGTATAGAAGCAATGAAAATTCAACGCATCTTATTATCGCTTTCATTTTTGACTCGGTTGTGCGTTTGAGTTCGATTTTGCGGACATGTATTTTACTAGCAAATACCTTTAATTTGATGTTCATATCAACCTCTAACATTAAGATTTTCTTGTTACTCCTAGTGGGTCGTCCCCCTGAAGAGGTAGTGCATCTTTGAATAATGTGTTAAAATGATCTTAAAGTCCAGTAACTGAGTACCTAGTTCTGAAGCTCTGTCTTTATTACTTTTTTTTTAATATTTCACAGTCCCGAGACTTTTTTTTCCACTCTGTATATATGAATTTGGAGCTGGGGGTGTTTTTAGCCTTTAGGGACCTCAAAACAAAAAAGGAAATCGGTCCCGGGTCCAGGTCTTACCATGTCCATAGTCCAGGCTTCCTCGCTTTTTTCATTGTAATATTTACGCACACCCAAATACAAATAGTAAATATTTCATTTCATCCAAGTCAGTAAATGTTTGTAGCACACGTCCTTAAATTGCAAATAAAATATTAACAGCAATTAAATTATCCAGCTGATCATAATGTAAACAAATATGTTCTTCATAAGGATAACATGGGAACTTTAGGGCCAGTTTTCACATCTACACACCTAAACGAACATTTTGGTATATAATATGTGGGGTTAAATCTTTAAACAAAAAAGCCTTATTGTTCACAAAGTTTCATGTAGCGTATTATTAATATAAATGTTTTACATTTAATTTCCAAACCATTTTGTAGCACTTATATATTTAATATATCGAAGTGTTTTTGCACCATTTTTGGTTACGGAGAAAATTCAAAAAACTTATATTTAAAATTCCCATGTTATTTTAATGGGGAATAATGTAAACTGTTGTAGTTTGCTTGTTTATTTACATTAATAAGCTTGGAAAATGTATTTATTTTATACTAAGGTTATAATACTTTACTAAAAACACACTTTATTAACTTCCCTGTAGCAGCAAACCTAAGTACTCATTAAACCTGATGTTATTTAAATGAGGACATGTTGTAGGAGATATTTCAGTGAAAATCCAATGTGAATGTAAATTTGCTTGGCCTACTTTCTAATCAGCTGGGAAACATTAAATTGCTGGCATTTTAATGTTTCGGTTAGAAATGTCTACAGTTGATCGTCCCTATTCGTTTTATCAAAGATGAAAGTCAATTGACGCCCAACAGCCTAGGCCCTGACTACAGGATAATCCGTCTTTTCATATATCTCCACCATAATCAGCCATTTTCAGGGTCAGGGATGGAATACAGAGTGATACAAAAAAGCATTTCATTCAACAAATAGTTTACTGCTACCTTAAACATCCAGTTCACACGCGGTCGTAAGCGTTCTGATTGACATTGAACATGTAGACCTGCGATTGGTCCACAATGGCATCCTTGGATGTTACCTTGTATTTGACTTCAACTTTATCTCCTCCAACTTCTTTCACTTGTTGTATACTCCGAGTTGCTTTAGTATCGTCTGAACAGTCGTCAACATAATACCAGTCCAGCAAAAATTGCTGCCCATCCCTTTTGTTAGTGAGCTTTGCCAGGAAGGCTTGGTAGTTTTGTGGTTGCCAACCTCCGGAGCTCCATTTACTCCATGTCTCCGAGATGCAGGTCAATTCACCGTGATCTTCTAAAGATGTCGTTGAAAGTGGGCTTAGTTCGCTTTTTAACTTTTTGATTCTCTTCTCCATTTCTGCATCATTTATAATCGATTTTACTGAAAAAAAGAAGAAAAACAGACAAGATAATTTAATATATTTTTTAAGTGGTTGGCATAGCCTCCTCTAAAACAAGGCTGCGGCGAGACAAAAGTGGCAACGCCGCAGACCCGGCCTACCGGAACAGCTGTTGCACTATTCACAATGGAGCGTCTGTTATAACTGTTATTACATGGCAATAGGCCGGTGCGACGTTGCCACACACCAACGCCGTGACATTGCAATAGAGCAGGTTAAGTTATTGTCCACTATACAGGGTGTCCCAGAACTCCTACCGTAAAATGGGGTGACTAGAAACAACAGGGTGAATAGAAACAAAACTTCAATGAATGATTCACATTTTTATAACTTTGTTATACATTGACTTTATATAAGCGAATTATTTCCCCCCATTATAACCATATCCTATCTACCTGGGAAAAATTAGTTTAGCATATTGGTATCACTGCTTCGGATGTCGGATGATGCGAAACATCATTTGAAAATTTTGGCGAAAAACATTCTTTTCAAAACTTTCTCTCTAAGTATGAACCTATTACATGTATTTATGTTAATAACCATTTTTTATATTGTCTTAGGCATCTTAAAACCAAGTGTGTTAATAGATTAGCCTTAGAATAAACTATATTTTTTTACTTTATTTTTAATTTAGGTTATGTCATGATTTTGCAAAACTAGGGTGAATAGAAACACTTTTTTTTGAACCAGTGGTGCCCATAAAACCCCCCAAAAAAGAAAAAAAAGAGATGAAGATGATTCTACATCAGTCACACTGGAAGAAAGTGACAAAGACGAACAATTTGATGAAGAAGAACCAGCATACCTAGCTCAAGACATCAGTGAGTCTTCAAAGTTGTCCCTTCATGATCATGTAATTGTCAAAGTAATGGGGAAAAACAAAACTTGCTATCGTTTACATGTTGCAAAAGTTATTGAATTTGACGAGGAAGGATAAATAAGAAGATTCATCAAGAAAGTTGTGCAAACCAACAAGTTCTGAGAGACAGATTAAGAGGCCCTCTTCAAAGTCGATGACGTAGTACGATCGGCTTCCAACTCCCAAGCCGTGTACAACTTGTAGATTTAAGGGAGTGTTGTATTTTGAGGAAGATTTGTCTGATTTTACTCTTCATTTAGTTGGTTTCTATGTAAGATTTTGTTACTCTGATTTCACCCATTGTCATTTATGTTCTCCGATTTGTTTGGATAAGGGTTTATGAAAACGACGTTTTTATACTTCGTACTTATAAATAAATGTGTTAATTAACTTTAAATATTTTTATATACAACAACCTAAGCTTACAAGCATAAATTTCATGTTTCTATTGCCCCTGGTAAGTGAGGAAAAGCAACAATCATCAATTTAACACAGTGTTTCTATTCACCCCAAAGTGCGGGGTGAATAGAAACAGCCATATTTTATTTTTTTTCTGCTTAATGATTAAAAAGAAAAAAGAATTGATAGCTGGTTTGAGTAGAGGAGTTCAAGACCGAAAATATGAGCTAGTGTTGAAAATTTAAAAATTAAAAATATAGGTTTTACAGAAGCTTAAAAGTCAAAAAGTGTTTCTATTCACCCCATTCTACGGTACCAAACTTTTAGGGCATTGTTAGAGAGTAAGAAACATATTTAAATATCTTTAATTGTCCGGAAGTCCTTAGTTACTCACACAGCCGCCATTTTGTTTTTTTTTTCACTTATTAATTTGTTCTAAAGAATGGTTAAACATACGAAATTGAAACTTTGCACAAACCAAATAATTATGAAAATTTTGAAAATTGATGAAACAAAATGGCGGTCATTTAAAATTTTGTTAAATTACTCAAAACCCGTTGTTTTACAAACATTTTAGAAGAATAACTTTTTTAAGGCAATTCCATTACAAATCTATTGACACCTCAATTTTAGATTGAATGTATTAACTGAAATACGGCTGTGATAGTAACGAAGGACTTCCGTACAATTTAAATATGATATTTACTGATGTTATAAAAATGTATAAAATTGCATACGAACTTCATAAGCCTGCAAGAAAGAATTTCGTTCGAAGGTCTTTTAAAGTATTGGGTATAAAGGAAACCGTACAAATAGATTTAATTGATATGCAAAACTATGATTGAGATAATTCTGGCAATAAATATAAATTAACTTTTAATAGATACATTTTCTAAAGTGGCCTATGCTGCTCCTCTGAAGAATAAGACAGGGTTGGTGGTTACAGAAGCCATTAAGACCATTCTACCAAAAGGTGGTGAAAAACATTAAATGTGACAATGGAAAATAGTTTTTTAAAGAACATTTTAACAAAGTAATGAAAAAATTAAATATTAATCACCATCACACATTTTCTACAACTAAGGCTGCAATTGTGAAGAGGTTCCAGAGAACTTTAAAGAATTGGTTATATGGAGAATTTAGTGCCCAGGGGAGTTATAAATGGCTGGATTTACTTTCAAAGTTAATTAGAAAATATAATAATAAGGTGCATAGGTCTATAGGAATGAAGCCTAACCATGTGAGTGTTAAGAATGGTAAATATGTGCATGGGGTTGACTAATTGAAAGTAAAAATGTCAAGATATAAGGTGGGTGATAGCGTAAGGATTTCCAAGTATAAACATATATTTATTAAAGGACATACCCCGAATTGAACAGGGGAGCTATTTACAATAGCAGAAGTTAAGAAAACAAAACCTGTGACTTATATTTTGAAAGATGAAAATTGCAATATAATTAGAGACGGGTTCTATACAGAGGAGTTGTTAAAGACCAAGATGGTAGAGAAGGTAATTGGGAGAAAGGGTGATTTGTTGTATGCAAATGGCTTGGGTTCCCAAGTAGTGAGAACTCATGGATTTCCGCCTAGTGGGAGCTGCATTAAAAAGTTACTCTATGTAGGCCTAAACATAAGGATTTTTAAACTTTCAGTGGGAAAAGTATAGACAATTGTTCCAAACGTATTCTTATCAGCGTCACCACTGGGAACGAGGGGATCGAGAAGTATGCCCGCGGCAGTGCCTATGGGTCGGGAGCGCGCCCGCGGCAGTGCCTATGGGTAGGGAGCGCGCCCGCGGCAGTGCCTATGGGTCGGGAGCACGCCCGCGGCAGTGCCTATGGGTCGGGAGCGCGCCCGCGGCAGTGCCTATGGGTCGGGAGCGCGCCCGCGGCAGTGCCTATGGGTCGGGAGCACGCCCGCGGCAGTGCCTATAGGTCGGGAGCGCGCCCGCGGCAGTGCCTATGGGTCGGGAGCACGCCCGCGGCAGTGCCTATGGGTCGGGAGCGCGCCCGCGGCAGTGCCTATGGGTCGGGAGTGAGCCCGCGGCAGTGCCTATGGGCCGGGAGTGCGCCCGCGGCAGTGCCTATGGGTCGGGAGCGCGCCCGCGGCAGTGCCTATGGGTTGGGAGCGCGCCCGAGTTCTCGTGCAAATCTCGCATAGTCAAGTCGGTGATTTTGAAAATATACATGGGAATGGATGGGGATTTGAAATTTTTATAGAGTTGAACAATTGTATGGAACATTTGTATAGGAATGTATAGGCCAGGGTCAGGATTTTTTTAAGTGGTTAAAAAATTACCCCAATGTTATTGTTATGGAAAAAACGCTCAAGTGACTTATCTTTGCCCTATTCTATCTACTGCCATATACGAAAACAATATTTGAATTTTCTATTTTTACCTAAAATTGTTTTAAAAGTGTACTAGAGTAAATAAGAAACAAACAAATTATAAAAAGATTTTCATAAAATGTTCATTGTTTAGATAAATTTCCCTCTTAAGCATTTATGAAGAAATTGGGTCGGCATCACTGAATCATTAATAGCAAACTCCAAAAAATCAAACGATAGAGGGGCGAAGCCCTAAAGGAAATAAGTCACCATTCGCCTCACCGCTAGGCATAAGCTCTATTACATATAACTTGGCTGGAAGAAGGATGTTATAGAGAAAGCCCTTATTGTATTATATCATTTGGTGGGTCGCGAAAAAAACATGATGAACTGAGGGGGGAGGGGAGCCAGACCAAAAAGGTTGGAAGCCGCTACCCCTTAAGATCCATCGGCCATTAAATGTTTGAAATAAAATGTTTTTAATACTACTTACCAAAAGCATCACAAACCACGAACGACTGTAAAAGAATATTAATATTATAACTTTAATCACATTTTAAAACTGTTATACTTTGTTGTTTATAAACAGTTTACAAAATTACAAAACATATAACAATATTTTCCTCTTCGGGGTTTAAAAATAAAGCTGAAATAATAATCGTCCCACCTTATAAGGTGCCATATAATTCAAATAGTTATAACACATTTGACAATTTTTCATCAACATATAATCTTTACATAACTTGATGCAGAGTTTTTGTGTTAGTGTAATCATTGAAGTAATTAAATACGAACGACATAATAAGAAAATATATATAACCTAGGAATAGCAATAAAGTCTGACTATTCTAACAATTTATTAGTATTGTTTGATCAAACAATGTTTGATTCGTAAAAACCAAACCATCATTTAAAAAATGATTTTATAGTTGTATGACTAATGCTGTTAAAAGATTATGCTACTCAAACAAAAATACAATTATAATTACACAATAAAATTGCGATAAATTAAAACTTTGGACTACACATAGTGGATTATTGTTTAGTTAGAATAAATATAAAAAATATAAACTCACGCAAAAAATAAGTAAGATAGGCCTAAGCATTTTAAGCCAGTTTTAGTCAGGAGCGACTTGTCCGTGAGTGAGGTCTACCAGTTACTAAAACCATTGACTATACACACGGCTATCTATGTTTCTCAATTTTCTCGATAATTCTCTATCTGCGAGGCTCTTTTGCCATATCTCTATCTGCGTCACATTTTACCATATGTCTAATTGCGCCACGATACTCCACCAGTAAAATTGTATGCTCTAAAATAGTATTCTCTTAAAAATTCTGCTATTTGTACGTTATCAATATTAGGTTTTATAAGTTGACTAATGCAGTAAAAATAATAGTATTTTAACAAGTTTTTATAAGCTCGCTGTCTTTTCTGGTCGGTACAAATTTAGCAATTTTAAGTTAACTCCCCGAGCTGGCTTGAAACTTGAAACATAGCTCACAAATATGACAATGCAATACATTTTATTTAAATAACATGTTTTTTCAATATTTTAATTAATTTTATACTCACAATAACCTAAAATGTACATATAAACAAACTTATTGAAGTAAATAGAAAAAATCTGAATACAGGTAAAAATATTTTGGATATGTACACGTGGACACGTGGACTGTGTTATGCATAAAAAACCAAGCGCCATTATCCTAAATCTGAGATTTGGGACATTTTTTTCCCAGGAAATATATGTAAATCATACAAACTAAATGGTCTGTGTGCATATGTTTGTTTCCTATCGACAGCGCTACTCCCTCTTTATTATTATCTATTGCATGCGCCCCACGTTTTTTGTTTTATATCTTACAAGTATTTCCATAGCTACGACATATTTACAATCACAAATTGTCTACAATCTATATGTGGTGAGAATAAATTATTTAATAATTTTTAGTGCAATTAAAAACGTTTTATATAAAAAAGTTTTTATTTATAAATTATTTTAACGTGAGCCATTCAATGCTAAAACAACTTATTTTTCCATATGCATTAAACTCTTAGATTTTGGTGAAATTTTTGTCAGAGGTTTTACCCACCCACACTAGTTAAAATCTAAACTTTGAAATGTTTATGATTTTTTTAGGTGTTAAAAACTTAAAAATGGCGGTTTTAGGACGAGTATTATTTCTTATATTTTTTTAGGTTGGCTTTTACCTTGCGTTAACCGTCCAAATGGGCCACAGAGGCCATGCATGGAACCGTGGAACTGGAGGGCATTAAAAGAGGGGGGGGGGGGGGGGTGAGACGGTACAATACAAGGAAGTTATTTAACTTTTATAATTAATGAGGGATTCCCTATGCCAGTAATTTTCCAATGTTTTGGAGCTTATAAAGTCTTACAACGTGATGAAATAACGAAAAATCTTTTTCATCACTCTGTATTCGAAAATAGCCCATTTCCACAGCTGAGATCTTCGAAAAAAAATCGTCAACCTCCACACCAAAAACAAATTGTGATCAGCTGACTTTTCCTGCAATTAACATTACTTTCGCTTAACAATACTTTACCTGACATCAACATTTATTTGCTTTGATTTATTTAATTGTTTTGGCAGTTTATTGATGTTCAATCAGCTGCATTTTACACAGAAATTAATTGTACAACCGTATTGTGTTTAGATTAGAATAATGAATAGATTGCGAAATATCAGATAGTTTTTCAAAAGTTTGATGAAGTAGTTTCTTTTATCGTGATAAAAAGTATCTTTCAATACTCATCACGAAATTCCCATTTCGGGGCTAACAGAAATATTATTTCACCATAGTACGATGTTTTAGCCTTTTTACAAACAAACGTTGATTGGATGTTGAAAGCTACGTATTGCTGTCCAAAACCGAAATGCCAGCTGTCATAGGTCATTTGGAGGGCCAAGCAGGTCAGCTGTTCGCTTATTTACTTAACATACACAAGCAGTATGCATACATATACATACAACGTATACATGCATTTATTGTATAGTGTGGTGAAAATAGCGTTTGTACCACGGGTTGAAAGGGTTTTGCGGCAAAACCTAATTTTCAGCCCTAGGTATGAAATATACTATTGCGTCTTTTTCCGCGATGAGGAAATTAACCAGAGCCGTGGGATTTTTGTTCCTCGCAACTAGTTTAGCCACACATCACTTGAAGAATGCGAATGAACCTTTGAACTTTTCATGCTGTAACCGCACTCTGCCGTTTTCCTCCTTCTGGATTCGCAACAGTTTAAGTATATTTTTGTATTTTAGCGTTTTACCAGCTCAACAAAATTGCTGACAAAACTATCTGTTAATTCTAGATTATGATTCATGGTTAGAATCTCAGGTTTACTAATTCAAATTAATTTAATTAATTCAAAAGAGATTCACTTCTCCACCTTACTAAAACTGCCTAAAACTGAATACAAATTTCATCATGGTGTTGTTTTCAGTATCTTGCTAGATGCATATGACTACCCTCTTTCTTTTAGGTTTTTTCAACATGTTACTCTTTTTTTGTCCTAGGACGCTAGGCATGGCTAGGCACGAGCCCGGAATAGTTTTTCACATTACTTCAGGCTATACCTAGGGGTTGCGGCACTATCATATAGATAAAATCCATTGGTGATCTGGCGGGATTTGAACCTGGGACCTCTGGAACCGAAGTCCCGCGCTCTAACCACTAGACCAGCTTGCTCCCCACATGTTACTCATGGAACATACAAATGTCCAATTTTGATTACATTACAACCGCCGTGTAGACCTTGAAAAACAACAATTGTGTATATTGAAGCGTTGTTGTAAAAGATGAAGTAGAAAATCCTGAAAAACTGTAGCCTACATTTGAAATGTCCTTCTTATTCTAATGAATACAAAAAATCGTTGTAGTTCACTTGTTTATGGAATTATTTTGATCAAATTTAGCACATTTTTTACTTTTATCCTACATCATCATTTGATCAAAAACATTTTTCCCTTCCCCGTAGCAGCAAACCTAAGCACTCTTCAATTGTAAAAACTGATAGCTGAGTGATTTTAGTGCTCGAGTAACAAACAAAAGGTTTCCGAATCGATCCAGAGAAATTTCAGAAGCTTTTTGATGGTTCGAAACTGGGCTAAGTTTTTTCTGATCATATATTGTGCTTGAAATGAATGATACTGGCTAATGAAACAGCTTATCTAACAGTAACAAAGCTACACAGATCATCTCATTCCTTCCTACACTCCTTCGCTCATATTAATTTACATGGGTTTAGCCCACCTAGGTGGTGCCCCATCTCAATTGACAACGATAATGATTAATTCAAATAGGTAATAAATACGATTTGTTACATAAACATATTAGTGAAAAGCAAATCAAGCAAATGGAAATGCACTCCCGTTTGCAACGAGGGTATTAAAAAATCGAAAAATCAAAATATTAGTACTGTATGAAGAGATTTTATTCCCTTGCTAAGTTGTAGAATGAAAATGGACGTTTGCCTGAGCCACCTACAAATGGGTTGATGTCAAATATTAATCGTATCCGCAAACTCTCCAAGCAGTCAAAACTTATCAGTTGCTATAAATTAGCATGATTTTATGTCACATGAGTGAACAAAGTTGTAAAAAAATTATGAAACAGAATGTTAAAAGTAGCTCACTGTGGGTGACTCATTAAGCTATGATCTAATACGGATAATTCGCAGCTGGTCCATAAAGATGGCTTGTATATTTCGCAACCCAAAAGTCAATTATGCTATAATTTAGTAAATACCCCCGCCGCAGTAAAACTGAAGACTAAGCGAATTCCCATTGACCTTGGCTGGATTTCTACTAAAATATTTCAATATTAGGGGTATGAATCAAATTAATTGCATTTATAATTTGCACTATTCTATCTCTATAGCCAATTTAAATCAATTCAATTGTGTCCATTTGTAAAAATAATCGAACAATAGTTTAAAATGTTTTGCAAATAAAATTACAACAACGAAATCGCACCATTATTTGATGTTCCGCCATTTTGTTCTAATTGATTACTATTGTTAATTTTGTTCTTAGTGGGACTAAGAGGTGTTTTTACTGCCCCCCCCCCCCCCCCCATATGGAGAAAGTATTGTTTACGTCAAAAGTTTCATGTTTAAGTTTTGGGTAGTTTTGGGAAACGGTATAATATTATATGCGCCTGCAAGTAGCTGCCGAAGTACTAGCATGTGTATTTGATGCAGCATCAAAGTTAAAGGCGTTGTTTTGCTTGTGGTTTGCAACGGGGCAAGAATACCTAAAGGATATACTTAGGGATCTTAATCTACTGTAAGAAAGAGTTGCATACTTACCGTTGATTATACAGGTCTTAATCATATTCATTGCTTATTTCAATAAAAATCTCTTGTGTATTAATTTGAATTCAACTGTGTGGCATGATCAAAACTACTAACTTTATTGTCATGTAAACATCCAATAAGAAAATATTTGTCAGTATATAAAAGTAAACAAATAATTACAAATGAAAAAAATGTAAATGTTGATGCATACAGCTCTTTATTTGAGGCGCGTGCCCTTAGGAGACGGCGTATTGCAAAACTGTTATTTTTCGGGTAAGTTTCACATCAGTCCTTTCATTCAAGTATGTGGTGAATAGGTGTGTGGCTGCTCGTGCATTAATTGCGCTAAGAGTTTCTTAACTGCGCCAAGCCCTCAAAGTGTCCCAAACAATATTCTTTAAGGTTCCGGTTGGTGCGACTTATACGACTGTAGTCGCGCGGCTGCAAAAATTGACTGCTTCTATGCGTAAATGCAACCCATTTCTATGGAGCGACTACAGCCGCGCTCCTTAGAAATAGGTTGCATTTACTGTGCAAATGATGGAAAATTTGCCTATAGGGCGAGTTGCCGGCAGAAGGAATAACCTTGTTTACGTGTCATCATAACCTAACCTAACCTTACCTAACCTACTCAATTATACAGTCAAAGAGGGCTGCCCCTTGTCGCCCAGTTAATGAACATATCGGGTGGCTCCCTGGAGTAGTTGGCCCAATTCCGGAATACCCGACTACCTGACTTAGGTCAGTTGGCGCAATTAATGCCCGTCCTAAACTAATAAGTTTAGTTGTTTTGTAAAGTAGAACTTGAAGTATTTTCTGAACTTCGCTAAACGGTAGAAGAACGCTAAAGAGAATAATTATGTTCTATGCTATGGGAAAAGTTATTAACTCACAATTAACATTTAAAAATCCCCAATAAAAGAATTTCTAACATGTGGTTTATGTCAATTTGGCAAACTAATATTAAGTGTATTCGTGAAAATGACATACAAACTTTACAAGCCATGGCCATAAGAGAGTATTAAAATAATAATTGACTATGTCCCTGTTGCATTTGACTTTTTGTTCCCTGTGACACCCATTTGTACTCATCAAATTATCATAAACTTAAATATATTTAAATAGGCAATACATTTGGCAATATTATGGATTAATGGTTAAAATCCTATGAGACAAATATAAATTTTCTTAGTCTGCAGGCTTGCTGTGGTGCATTTGATAAAACTGATGGTTGATCTATACAGATGGTATGTCTACTTCAGTATCCACAAGTTAATGGTGAGATGGTTTTCTACGTCACTTTATGCGTCACTTGCTGTGTTATTGGTGTTTTGTATAGCGCCATATATATATATATATATATATATATATATACATATTATATATAGCGCAACGACCGCTGAAGTAAAATTATATATTCTGTAATCGCTCAATCGCTGTTGTAGCGTGTTAACTGACAGATCAGTAGGTTTACTACGTTTTCACAGTCCGGTGGCAATATTTACACACAAAGCACTGTTGGGGCGGTTGACGCAAGAGTCCTAACTTTAGACGTTCGACTATCTCTCCCCTAAAGATAGGGTCTAAAAAAACACCCGTTTGCGTCAAACCGCTTACGCTCATCTTAACGACTGGACTTCTGATATTCAGTCTAAAACGGACATTTTCCTTAGACTGGATAGATACGGACACCTATTCAAGCATTCGTCGCGTCGTGCGTAGTTGTTGTGAGTCAGCCCGGATTTGCGTCGCTCTACATCGCATTACTCACAAACTCTAGGCTTTATCATGCATTCACTTCCTGTTTACTGGTGCGGTTTAGTGCGGAGTTGAATACGTTACTTGAAAATATATGTATTGCGCAAGTCTGCTCAACGTTTGTATTTTCTTTTAGTTAGTTTCATTTACTTCCAATAATATATAATGTCGAAAATACCCCAGTAGCAGCAAACCTGGATAAGCGAATTTTCATTTGCCTAGTTGGATTTTCACAAAAATATTTCCTTAGGATAGTCAGATCAGTTCTTTATTTAAATAGTAGGCTAGGTTAAAGAGTATACTCTGAAACGGTGACCATACGAATGTATGTATTTTAAGCGGAGTATGGAGATGAGTTTAGGATGAGTGGCGCGATCTTGTAGTCTTGTTACTGACTAAGAATGTCCCTTTTTAGACAGGACTGTTAATTAATTGAGCGAAAAGCACGAAGCGGTGTCAGTTAGTACTACAAATTTGTCCAAATTTGTCTCTGTATTTCGACTAGGGTGTTTACTTTTTAAAAGTCTTTTACACATGTAAGAGTTAACAAGCAACCATGACAGATTCCGATCTAGATCAAATTTAGCACGTGTGTGACTTTACACAGAATGTCCTTAATACAATATATAAACAATTTTGCAAAAATTGCACTTCGTTCATAAAAATCTACTTTTATCGTCCCTATTCTATTTATCAAAGACGACTGTTGTTAATTGTTGCCTTGGGCGGACTAAGGTACCCTAGAGTATCATACGACCACAGACAATATAATACTTTAATTTCCATTGTCTGTGATACGACCCTCAAACAGCTGTGTCTAAGGAATATGTCGGCCTTAGTATGTTTTCTGTGGCCTTAGTCACTAACAAGACTACAAGATCGCGCCACTCATCCTACACTCATCTCCATTCATACTTGGCTTAAAATACCTACTTTGTATGGTCGCCATTTCATCGAAAAGTATTAAAGAATTAATAGGTCTCCTATTTTCAGGGAATGGAATATAGATTGATAAAAAGACATTTCATTCAACAAAACGTTTACTGCGACCATACATTCAGTTTCTTCAGTGTCAAGTTGGCGATCTTTTGATATCAACCGAGGATTGAGAAGAGTATCGATCATAGTACTGGGTTTTGTCCTCAATCATATAATTGTACCCCACTGTGCGGTATTTCACTTGAATTTGGTTCAACTCAGGAGCTGTTACTTGTAGTATAGTCTTAGATGCTTCTTTTTGACATCCGTCAACAAGATACCAGTCCACCAACGCTTTCTTCCCATCTACCTCGTAAGTCAGCTTTTCCAGGAAGGCACTGCATTTTATTCTTTTTGGAAACCACTTCAAAAGTCTCCACTTAACCCATTTCTCCTCATAGCAGACCAATTCAAATTCGTTTCCAAAAGATTCTTTTGAAAGTTCGATTAGTGTGCTTTTATGACTTTCGATTCTTTTCTGCATTTCATAACCGCTGATCATAAATCTTACTAAAAAAGAAAAGTTACAAAATTGGTTTTTTAAAAAGTTTGTTTATGTCATTGATGTAACATTCTGTAAAACAATGCCGCGGCGAGGTAGATTTGGCAACGCCGCAGACCCGGCCTAGTGAAGCACCCGTTGCACTACAGTATTCACAATGGAGCGTCTGTTATTACCATAGCAATGGGCAGGCCGGCGCGACGTTGCCAAGAGTTTATGAAAGATGTGGATAAGGAAAGTTGGGGACACGGAAAGTTAGGGACAAATAGGGGTGTGACCGGAGGGAAGGGAGAGATAATCTGAACTAGGCTCTGAAACGACTCTTTAATAACGAATCGTTCTCCTGTTTCAGTTCACAGAGAGCTACAATAACGGCATTGACTTCAAAATCATAATTTGACTATTTCCAAACAGTAAACTTTAAAATGTTAAGCAAGGGTACTTTCGTATGATACGGAGGTCACTTATTTTACAGCGCGTTGCGGTGACGGTTAGGTTAGGTTGGGTTATCATAAATATGTTTGTAGAACTTTTCTCGTTTCGTTATGAATCGAACGATACCAGAGGAGCCATAAAAAATATGATAACCCAACCTAACCTAACCGCTGCAGCGCGCTGTATTTGGGTGGCCTCTGTATAATACGAAAGTACCGTTAAATAAATGTTACAGAAAATATAAAAGTAGTCTACGCAATAATATTACTGAATATAATGTAATGATATATTGTTAAGATATGCTGACGTAATTAAGTTATAAGTTTGAAATTTGAATACTTTTGAATATTTGAATAATTGAACTTGATACTTGTGATTGTGTAGGCCTACGATAAACTTTACGAAATAAATGGTATTTTTGTTTGCACATATTGCTGTACTGGTACATTGAACTAAGAATAATTGTTTTCAAAAAACTTGTACCATTGGCGTATGTGTAACTTAAGATTTTCCCTGCGATTCACAAGAGCTGAAAAAAAGTGTTTCAATAAACATGTTTGTCTATTAGTATATAGAATTAGCCCCCTGTTAAATCTCCATTAGAAAAGTTAAAATTCCATTTTTGACCACACATATTCTCAAAATACAAATACAACCTGCACATATAGGACCGATAACCTTTCTTTTGGTACAACCCGCGTGTTAATCGGTCCAGTAGCTTGGTCAGGGTGGCTGTTGTAAGCTTAAAAATTTGTCCCCATGTTAAATATCCATAAGACAAGTTTAATTTCCATTTTGACCCAATTATCATAAATATTTTCAAAAAGATGTGCTTATGCTAAGCCCCACTGGCTTGTGGCACAATTCACCCTGCCAACCTAGCTATCATGGAGAAAACATGGTGTCAGTCGTCAAATTGTTACATCAGCAATTATAAATTTTGTAAGACTACTTACCATAAGCGTCACAAAGTGCGAACGTCTGTAAAGGAATTTAATATCCGTTAAACACATTAAACCATTTTTAAATCAGCACATAAAAAAACTTTATGTAGAGGTCCTGTGATCGTGTAATCAGTAAAAAAATTCAAATACAATCGTCAATATAACAATTTATATGTATATATAAAAATCTGGATAAAAATATAGTCTGACTCTTCTAACAATCTGTTTGGCATTGCTTGATCAAACGGGGTTTTATTTACCCTTCCTGGAGTATAGGCGGATATATCCGCTATCATTTGGTGCATAGCGGACGATAGGCGGATATATCCGCCCGTTATTACGCCATCTATTGTTATAGTTTATTATAAATATCAACATAAATCTTCGTAAAAACGGTATATTATTCAATTATATCTTTAAATGATCTACTAGGAATGTAAATATAGAAGAATAAAAAAATTTACAAAAACAATTTTTTAAGTAAAAAAAGTTTTTGGACAAATGTGCTGCATAGGTCAACTATTTACAACATTCTATAACTACAGATGTAAAAAAATATATATATTTTTTTTATAAATCTTTCTGTCTGTATATTATAGACCGTCCGGGAAGGATTTTTCCATCTTAAAAAAATGTTTTTAAACAATAAATAGATAGTTTTATGATTACGACTGATAAAAATTATACTACTTAAACAAAAATACACTTATAATAATAAATACACTTATAATAATGCAATAAAATTTTTGAATATACTTAGTGAAATTATTGTTAGTTAGAATAAATAAAATTATTAACTTACGCAAAAAATTAGTAAGATGGGCCTAAGCATTGTTTGGTTAGTTTGAGAAGCAACCCCTTCGTGAATATGGCCTACCAACTACTGAAACCTACACAAGGCTATTTACGTTTCAATTTACTCCATAATTATAATATAATTTATCTGCATTACTACTGGCATATTTTTATTTGCCTCACTGTTTGCCATATGTTTATCTGCGTCGCGATACAAGTGTAACATTTTATGCTATAGAATTTTATTCACTTAATTTTTTTATTTATCAATATTATACGTTTTTAATCCAAGAATAATGGAGTACAAAATAGTATTATTTTCAAATGGATGATTCCATGTGAAATTAATTTGTACATTAACTAATGACTAGACAGATTTGGGGAATATTTTCGTTAGAGGTTGTGCCCACGATCACTAGTTTGAACCAAAATGTTTAAATTGTTTATGAATTTTGGTTTTTTAGTTTGAGGGGTTAAAATCTCAAAATTTGAGCGGAGCGAGGCTTGGTAAGCGAAACTTGGTATAGTACTGTATTACCTTTCTAGTGCCTGCTAGTCGTTTAAGGCAACATAGCTACAGTTGAGTGTTGCGGTTATTGCAATATGATTTGAAGGCGCTCTCCGCATGTCGTTTTTCATTATAGGAATAACGATGCTATAACTAGGAATATTTTTAATTGATCAATAAATCACTAAAATACATGAAGTCTTACAATTGAAATAACTGCTGGTTCACATAGGTACCTAATAAATTAAACAGAATAATTTCAATGCTTCTCTGTGGTAATATCATAGATGAAGAAATATACAGTAGAACCTTGATAAGAAGACCCTCGATAACAAGTCACCCTTGATAACAAGTGTAATTTTTAAATCCCCTTGATTTTATTTTACCCCTTATTAAAACCTCAATAAGAAGTCAACCTTGGTAACAAGTCTGATTTAATAATCCCCATGAGAGTCTTGTTATCGAGGTTCTACTATTTCTTAATTATATTACTTTATCTATGGTAATATTTTCTTAGATTAAGAAATGCTCACGGTTTTACATAATCTCTTGAACTCCCTTCTTCTAGAAATAATTTAATTGAACTTTTTGGTAAAAAAAAAAATAATTTTGCAATATTTAGCTTGAGTTTAAACTTCTTTCACTATTTATTTTCCATGTAGCTTATCAACCAGTGTACTGACTAGTAGTTTTAATATTTGCTCAATTATTTTGAATGAAATCCCCCTTCATAACCAGAAAAGAGGCTTTAACCAACTCTGATTTTTAAAACATGAATCAAATTGCAGTACCGTAATACATTAATTCACCACATATAATAATGCCTACTTGATTTCATAATTGTCAATTAATTCGGACATGTGAAAGTGTTTGGTGTTGTTTGTTTTACGTGTAATAACACCAAGTAAACTCCTGGATTGAAAAATCCCCTAGGCCTATCTTTAATTTCTATTGTGTTCAATACGATGTTCAAGGGTCGGTTAAATCCTTGGGTTTGTCACTATTTCATGTCGGCTTTTAGTTTTACAGTATTATTAATTGTAACCGAGTTATAAAACGGAATCTTGGTCTAATTTTATAGTTGCATTCGTGTGAATGATTCAGAATACGAAGTAGAGATTTTGGTCTAATGCGAACCATTCGTTTATTAGCGAATTGACACACAAGGCAATTCTGAACACAAGCATTCACTACACAGGTATTGCTCGAGTAGCGGTATTTTTGCCCCAACCACAACAGCAGAGTGGCGCAGTGGAAGCGTGCTGGGCCCATAACCCAGAGGTCCGTGGATCGAAACCACGCTCTGCTACAATTTTTTTGCCCCGTTAACTATCACTTTTGTACCCTATTTATGCATTATTTTGGTTTAGTATTGAATTTAAAATATTCGCTGCAGGTTTAAAATTTGTTTATTAATTTTTTTACATTAATTAAGGGCTGCAAGGACATTTATAACTACCGCTATTAAAAATTAAATTATTTAATACTAGCTGTTGTACACGTGCTTTGCAACGGGAAGAGGACACAAAATGCAAAAAAGTTAATAGTACTGCACCCTGTTGGTAAACCTTATAACTTTTTAATGCTATTTAATATCATAGAACCAACTTGTGTAGTTGAAACAGCTGTCAAAATTATTTTATTCCTTTTAAATATGATTACTCATAAGGTTAACATGGGAAACTCCAGAGCCACTGGGGCGGAGCCCGAAAGGACTTTTGAGATAAGAATGCGTCTATATGTTAATCGGGAATGTGAACTATCATCACACCAAATTTCAGCCCGATCCGACCAGTATTTTTCGCGTTTACTTGTCACAAACATACATCCATACATCCATACATCCATACATCCATACATCAAAACTTTCTCATTTATAATATTAGTAGGATTTAAATAATTTAAATTATTGTATGTTTTCCATTCTTTATTTTTTCATATGATAGTATTACTGAATTATTCCAATTTAAGACAAATTTGTGCAACATGCAGTATTCAATACATTTGTATACATTAATGGATTATAAATACAATCCTAATCGATTTCGAGATGAATCTTACAAACGAACGTATTCGTATTGGAGTAGGCATATAAAATGATTTTGTAAAAAAATCGTTATCGTTAAAGGTTTAGGTTTGTAATTTGTTTATAATTTTCATTATGTAATTAATTAGGCTACCGAGGCATACGTTATTCACTACTTCATTTTAGAATGTGAGTCTCAGTAGTTGTCTTTAATTTCGTACTACAAATTACGTATTTTTACGCGTAATTTTTTTCTTAATTCTGATAATGTCTAAAACCTTGCATAATACTAAAGAAAATAGATTCTATATTCTGTGATAATACATAATTGTTTTATGTAGCGTACTTATTACGGCGACGACAAAGATACCGCCATAGATTATAATTTTATTCAACCAATGCACAATAATTCATAATTTCTTAAATGTTATTGCTGGTAACACATTTTTTTAGATGAACCCACCCTTCTATACAGTATTACAAGTTTTCCTTGTTATGGTGCATAGCATAGTTATTATAACTGGGTATCAACAGTTCACGTAAATATTTCATCATTATTGTTTAGTTCTCATTTTTTCTCCCAGATACTTTGAACTAGTGACAGATTAGTTTACCAGCCTCCCTATAGTTGGTTTGGTCCATTCAAAAGTCCTAGGCCGTCGATAAGCTTCATCGTAAACATTTTTATTGATATTTGTAGAACTTTGAACGCCGTGTGGTTTACATTATTGTGATCGTCGATTAATGACTTGCACATTTTTGGGATTTCCGTTCAAAGTTCGATTTAGAGATAAAAACTGCATTTTTATTTTTAAATTTCAATTGAAAAAAACTTTATTCCGTAGCTTTTTGGAGAGGTTTGGAGAGGTCACTTTGTTTAAAAAAAAACATGAAGTTTGGGTTTCTTAAAGAATTGCTTTTCTAAATATTGCTCCTCTGTAAATTTTTTGGGAACTACTTTTGTTATTCACTTTTAACACATTCTCTTTTTAGGGTTACACCTCAAGACGCGTTTCCATTAAAAGAAACTTTCACATAAACATTTTTATCTTTGGATTCTTCCAACCGATCTTTTTTTAAACTTGGTATGTATGTGAAGGTAGGAGAGACCCATTATAGACAGAAATTGTCTTGATCCAATTAAAATTTTCAAAATGGCGGAGATTTTAATTTATTTCAATTAAAAAAAAATTCTGACTTAATGAAGAAATATCAAGAACAATTTAATTTAGCATTTGAAATTTCCTTTTATATGACACTAAGTTAAAAAAAAAGAAAAAAATATCACTAATATTAGTTGTAAAATTCGGTAGAGTAAGGCTAATCTAGTCAGGTTGGCCTCATTTTTCAACAAAAAATCGTTATATTTAAGTATTTTTTTCGATGTTTTTGAATTTGGTGTTTTTGATAAGTTGGTCAGCATTACTGGAGCTTTAAAAGTCATCTCTATGAATTAATAAACGCCAAGGGGGCGAAGCCCAAAAGAAATTATCCCTTTAGTTACCATTCGTCACTCCACTGGTTCAAAGGTTTAAAATGACGCCTAATTATTAAAATCGATTAAATATAAAGGACGAAAAAGGAATGTAACAGTGAAAACGCGTGATGTATTGAGTTTATAGATTTTTATATTTCCTAACAAAGACTTTTCAAAACCAAATAATTGATAGCTTACTGATAAGCGCCGTCTGGATCAACTTGACATGCTAAGATTTCTTCTCAATTATCTGGCATTGTTCAACATCAAACCATTGACTATACAAACCTACGAACTGTCAACTTCACTGGTCTCAGTCAAGAGTGTCATTTGTGTAAAGTGTTCAAATGTTCATAGATAATTGTTTTCGCTCAAGGTAAACAATTAAGCAAAAAGTTTTTCCATTGAATAACATTTTTACGACTTGTTCTAAACCTATTTAAAAACATTGTTTCGACGTGTAATTAGGTAGTTAGCTCTTACAACAAAGTTAAATAACTTGAAGGACACGAATTTATAAGCGAAATGATTATTTCTTTTAAAACTTGGTTAAAAGCTTTTCATTGCATTGTGAGATGATTTTCTATTTTTCTACTGCTTAAATGATTATATTTAACTGATGGAGTACTTATGAAATTAAATAATTACTTAGTAAGAGTATAATATAAAATTAACTGTTTGACAATACATTTGTATTTCACTGTCTGCTTAGTTGGACCATAGACAAAAAGAATTAAATATAGACTGACAGCTGTGCTGCGGTTACCATGGTTACCATAGGTTCTGGCGCACACCGCTGGGAGCGCCATGTTATGGAGTACGCGCTACGTGTAACTACATGGCGCTTACGGTGTGCGCCAGAACCTATGGTAACCATGGTAACCGCAGCATGGTTGTCAGTCTATATTTAATTCTTTTGTGTATGGTTGTATAAAACCCTAGTGAATCCTTGCTAGTACCTCTAACTACAAAAATATATCATAAATCTGTTTAATCAGATAAAGTCGCGCTTTCTTTTAATAACTATTAGAATGCAAATAATACAGTTATTGAGGCCCAAA